CTTCGCCCGGCGGTCCCCCGCCCCCGCCGGCCGTGCCGGTGCCGTCCGGCCGGGCGTGTCGCCCACGAACGCGGCCGTCAGCGCTCCGGCCTCAACTTGCCTGAAACTTGGGAGGGTTCGCGCCCTTCAGCCGGGAACCGCCCGGCCGTTCCCGCCTGCGCTCCGGGAGGGCACGGGGCTCGCACCGGCTTCGCGCGTCCCGGGAGCGGGGGATGTTGGAACGAGTCTGCCCCGAACGGGAGCCCTCGGGAGGAGACGGACCCTCGAGGTGGCGTGAGCCCGAGAACCCGGCGGTGGAACTGGAGCGCCGGAGTTGGCGCTCGGCGTGCGTTCGGCGGGCTCCGGAGCGGCACCGCAAGCGGAGCGCCGGCAGCGTTTGGAACACGGGGATGCCTCTCGTCCTGTAGGTGGGGGATGGCCGCAAGCGGGCACCCTGCCGGGAGGAGGGGTCACCTCGGTGTGCGACCGAGGGCAGGCGACCGAGGAGTCCCCCGTGGGGTCGGGGCGGCGGGGTGGTCTGCGCTGGGGTAGCTGGGGATGTGGCCGGGGAGGCGTGTGGGCTGTGCTGGGCTCGCTCGAAGAAGGCGGCTCCGGGGTAGAGCAGGGGATGATACCGTTTCATGATGCAGATGCATCTGAGGTGTGAGCCTTTCCCATCTGCGATTAGTTTCAGCTCCGCCTTTGTGTTTTATCTGGAAAACAGGTAAAATGGGAAGCGCAGAAGTTTTATGCTTGCAGCAATATAGCAATTATACTTTCAAGTCATTTCCAGATGGTTTGCACAAAGCATTTTCTTTCAGAATTACAAGTTTTAATTTTTTCCAGCTATTTTTACAGTGCTAACCAGATTTTATCCTTTATATTTGAAAGGTTGTTCTCCCCCCCGCCCCCACCCCCATCATTTTGCATGCTTTTCAAGATGTCTGGTATCTGGTTAAAATGGACTCAGATGATGTTCCACGGTTTTATGAATTACAATGTTATGCGTCGGAGATTTAATTCTGAGTGCTGTGTAGTCAGACCCTGTGTGATCTGACATAATATTCCTAAGTTAAAGAATGCTTTTATTATGCCATTGTTCAGTTACACACGAAGTAAAAACTAGGACTGTCAAATAAATTTGTTGATTCTATTTTAGATTATTCTTAGCTTTTGATTTTAGTACTATAAGGTGCTATTTGCATTTAGTTAAACATGTATCTAGTTTGCACTAGAATGGTACAGGGCATACCTCTGTTGTTAACTTTTTAGAATTTCTAGACCCTCTGAAATGAGTTTAAATTTCTGGTACAAGTTGAAGTTACACTTCGAGTGGAGTCATAAATGCTTTAAACAAGCATTTGACAGCCAGCAAACATAGACTGCTCTTGACAGAGGTGTTGAGGAGAATGTGTTTTGTCTATGTAACACGTGAAACCGCGCAGTCGAATCCAAGATTTGCTGAATTGGTGGTTATATTCCTAATGACTTAATGGGATCAGGATTTCACACTTGTGCAGGGCAAAGTCCCACCTGTATTAGTGGTGATGTTGTTGGCTATGCCAAGCTGTTAAAAGAAGTTACCAAATCAAAGCAAAAATGTCAAGGTCCCTTATGCCTAACTAAAAATTATATTCTAATAAATTCCAGTGTATGAAGCAAGTTACTTTAATATTAGTTGGTAGATGTGATAGGAGAAATGTATCCCTGAATAGGACATTCATACCTGATCCTGAGGAAGGCTTGGGTATTCAGTTCCCACTGCGTCTGAACACCAGGTAGCATCCCACGCAGAGGGTACCTACCTCCACAGCCTTTCCTGACCATTCCCCGTCCTGGTCAAGTTACCACCTCAGAGTTACAACAGGTTTTTCTGCTGGCAGATGTTCTAAAGGAAATACTCACAGACACAGTCTGGATGACTAAATTTCAGCTTGATTGAGAGCTTTGTCTGGCAAAATTATGGACATTGGAGTAATTACTGGGGTAGTTTTTGTGTGCCTTAACAAAGGTGGTAAAATGTTATTTTACACCTGCCTTTGGCAGGAACTTTTTTTCCTGCTTGCAATTACACGTAGTCAAAGCAATTTCCTTGTATAGCTATGATAATCCTATGAGTAGTTTTGGTAATAAAAAGAACATTGAAATAAACCCCTGTTTTTTCTGAGGTCTGCCATTGGGGGCCCTTTCAAATTGCATCAGTCAAGCAAAAACAGCTGCTTCAGTTCTACTCCATGAACAAGACAAGTCTTATTTGCTGCTTCAGTTCATCACTACAGTGAATTTGTTTATCTAACCATGCATGGTGAATGAGAGGACCACTAATGCGGGAAGTTAGTGTTAGCTCATCAGTTATGATTGTATTTAAGAGAGACTTTCAGTTCTTAGAAATGTATTTTGCGGGCCAAAATATCCCACCTGAATTGAGAATACTCTGCTAAATGGGTAGTTTTGTTTGAATAACTAGAGAAAAAAAATAATCGTGTAGTTCAGTTTGCCTTGCAAAAAAAACGTAGTCATCCACAAACCATATGGCTTTCTTACCTCTGGTAGAGAAATATCTCTCTGCATGGCAGATACAGCATGTCAACAGCTATGATCAAATATAAGTAGAAGTGGGCATGGATGAATCAGAATCTCTTTTAAAGGAGACCTGTTGGAGACCACAACTTCTCATATTTAAGTCCATATATATCTCCATTATACAATTATATTTCCCGAAACAGATTATAGTTCATCACAGCTACTTTCTGTTGTAGGGGCCAAAATGATTCATTAAAGTAAAGTAAGTACTCTTCCCGTGATATTTATTTAGGAAATGTCAAGTAGCAGTTTATTCATTTAGTACACGCTCAGTTGTGATGAGAGGATGGAAATCACTGCAGTTAGATTTCTCAATCAGTGTTTCTACGCATGCATATATATTTGGTCTCACTCTGCTTTTATGTTTCTCACTGTACTTTCTTAAATAGTGCTTTTGTGCATAAAATTTACTTATCTTCCATGCATTTTTATTCCATGTTTGACACGTTCCGCTGTCCTTGCCAGTTTTGAAAATGAATAGCTTCCAATATGGCATTGGCCTTTTAGCCCTCTGAATTTTTTTTTTTTTTTTAATTTTTTTTAGTTTTATAACCATATATTCTTACAATCTAAAAAGACTTTCTTTCCACCTTTGGTAGTCAATGTGGTAGATACCTGCAGTTAGCAGAGATGCATGGGTTATACCATAGATGAAGGCTTTTATCTCACGAGGGGAGTCAGTGTCTGTTATCTTCAGTAGATGTTGCCACCACTGTGTGTAATGATGTAGATAAATTGACAGTAATGAAACATGTCAAAAATGTGGTCAAATACATACATAAATCCAACAAGGCAAAACCCACTAATTTAGAGATTCAGACTGTACATAGGCACAAATAACAGGAAGAGAAGTATATACCAGAGCTTTCTATCTATCTGTAGCTCCCCATCTTGAGTCCTTCATAGCTGCTCCTTCTCCTCCCAAAATCCTTCTGCCACTCTCAATTTTGTATCTTCTCTCTTAAATACTCTCTTTAAAAAGTAAGTTTGTTATGTCAAAGGAAAGAAGAGCATCTTAGGGTTGTCAGATTAACCTGAGCTCCGTTTGAACACAAAAAGTTGTTGCAAGCCAAAGTTTATTCTAGCAAATGTAAAGGTTAAGTCTTGATAGTGAAGTTGAAAACAGTTAGGAAAGCCTAAAACTAAGGAACACAAATTTAGGGAGAAATTGGACACCAGTCTCTCGTGTAGTGGCTGTTTAAGGTGTCTCTGATACATATTTCATTTTGGAAGCTGAGAGGCTGCTTGGGCAGTGTTCAGCCTCTGGAGCGCTGCCTTTCAGAGAGAGCAACTCCCCTGCGTTGCCCTGGAGAGGTAGCAGGTCAGTACTGAGAATAAGAATTCAAAACATTTTTTTGTACCATGTCCTTATTCTCTTTCTTCTTTAATTTAGGTGATGCTGTATTTTCAATAATCCCAAAGGTGTGGGGGAGAATGCAAATTAATTGTTTAAGCTTGTCTGGAATCTAATTGCCCTTAGCATGCCAGCGTTTTTTAATATGTTGATTTCCTACATGAGATTTATTTTTGTGTATTGGAGGTCAACTGAACTAGTTTCCTGTGATTCTTTACTTCTTGACAGTATGGCTTGCATTGTAAAACTTTGTAATGCCTTAATATAATGTTATGCAAATTACATATCATAAAATATCCGCCAAGTCTCCAGCAATTCTCCTAGTTTCGCAACTGGATAGGCTGGTGACTTTTCATAGAAACCATATACGGTATGATTAATGGTGCAGATAATCAACGTAGCCTTTACGGAAACTTTGTCCAAACCATTTCACTCTTGCATGGTCGTTCTTAGAGCTCGTGCAGCTGCAGGGGTCCAGAAGTATGTTTTATTGCATTATTGTGTGTTTTACTGGCAGTGAGGAGTAGAAAGAACTTCCCAGCTTTCGCACCTGCCTTCTAGTTTCACAAGTAGCCTATAAAAATAACACTGAACAAATAGCTTCAATTGGCACAAGTGGAAGGTTATTTTTGACCCTCATTTTTTCCCCTGAATGTCCCCCTGAATGGCGGACAGTAGAGAGAGAATCTCAAGTAGTTACTACTCCTTTTATTTCTTATAGAGTAATCTAAAAATAGGGGGGGAGGAAAAAACCCCAGAGGATCTTCCACTTTCACATTCTTATTGATTTATGGCTTAATAAGTCATTGGGATATAAAGCTATAGAGCATAAACACTCTTACTCTATTGAATTTGTCTAAACAGAGTCCAAGTAAGATAAAAGATGACACTTTTGTTTCATTCACGCAGACTGAAATTCTTTCCAAAGAGCATCAGTTTAAGGCCACCTTTATCCTCTGCGCAACAGCGGATTTCACTTAAATGAACAAATAATATTCTTTAGTTTTAGAGATTGGTAACAATTATCTTCCCTGATGAACAGAAAGGAGGACAAAGCTTGCTTTTCTTCCTTTGATTTACTTCCCTTGATCTGCAGCCTTTCAAATCCTGCATAGTTGAAGCTACAGGAAGAATCTGGGCCTTTTTTTAGGCTAGAAAAGGAAGTGAAAAAGCACAATCAAGTTTCTTGAAAAGACTACGTATCTGTCTGAATTCTTTATCATACCCTTAACCAGGCTTCCTCATGAAAACACGATGTATAGGAAATAATATGTAGACTTAATAATACTTATTTATTTTTTAAAAATTGGGGCATGAAGACATCACATAGCAAGATGTTGCGTACAAGTAAGAAGTATTAATATCCTCTAGCTGGGAAGACTTTGGGCTCCCATTGGTAAGAGTGACACAAGGTTCACCTTCCTTCTGAAGAAGAATTCGAGCCCCTCTGATGTTTCCAGCCCCTTCTGGCTGCAGGACGTGAAACTGATCTTTTCTTTGATGGCGACTTGTGCCTTTGTTCTCCAGCATCTGGCCTGGTTTTTGGCCATTTTGTGGTTATCTTTGCCATAATGTTTCACTTAAAGGTAAGACATTTTAAAAACGTGATTGTTAAGTGTTCCTGTTGTGTATTGTATACACTGTCATTTGATTTTTATTTCAGTCTGAGATTTTGATCTCGCTCCTTTGGGGGTCTGTTTACAAAC